CACCAAGAGCCACCCCTGAAAGGACCACCCCACAAAGGACCACCCGACAAAGGATCACCCCACAAAGGATCACCCGACAAAGGACCACCCCACAAAGGACCACCCCACAAAGGACCACCCCACAAAGGACCACCCCACAAAGGACCACCCCACAAAGGACCACCCCATAAAGGACCACCCCACAGAGTACCACCTCACAGACAACCACCCCGCAGAGGACCACCTCACAGACAACCACCCCGCAGAGGACCACCTCACAGACAACCACCCCGCAGAGGACCACCTCACAGACAACCACCCCGCAGAGGACCACCTCACAGACAACCACCTCACAGACAACCACCCCGCAGAGGACCACCCCGCAGAGGACCACCTCACAGACAACAAACTCACAGACAACCACCCCGCAGAGGACCACCTTACAGACAACCACCTCACAGACAACCACCCCGCAGAGGACCACCCCGCAGAGGACCACCTCACAGACAACAAACTCACAGACAACCACCCCGCAGAGGACCACCCCGCAGACAACCACCTCGCAGACAACCACCCCGCAGAGGACCACCCCGCAGACAACCACCTCACAGACAACCACCCTGCAGAGGACCACCCCACAGAGGACCACCTCACAGACAACCACCCCGCAGAGGACCACCCCACAGAGGACCACCCCACAGACAACCACCCCGCAGAGGACCACCCCACAGACGACCACCTCACAGACAACCACCCCGCAGAGGACCACCCCGCAGAGGACCACCTCACAGACAACCACCCCGCAGAGGACCACCCCGCAGACAACCACCCCGCAGACAACCACCCCGCAGACAACCACCTCACAGACAACCACCCCGCAGAGGACCACCCCGCAGACAACCACCTCACAGACAACCACCCCGCAGAGGACCACCCCGCAGACAACCACCTCACAGACAACCACCCCGCAGAGGACCACCCCACAGAGGACCACCTCATAGACAACCACCCCGCAGAGGACCTCCCCGCAGACAACCACCCCGCAGACAACCACCCCGCAGACAACACCCCGCAGACAACCACCCCGCAGACAACCACCCCGCAGACAACCACCCCGCAGACAACCACCCCGCAGACAACCACCCCGCAGACAACCACCCCGCAGACAACCACCCCACAGACAACCACCTCACAGACAACCACCCCGCAGACAACCACCCCGCAGACAACCACCTCGCAGACAACCACCTCGCAGACAACCACCTCACAGACAACTACCCCGCAGACAACCACCCCGCAGAGGACCACCCCGCAGACAACCACCTCACAGACAACCACCCCGCAGAGGACCACCCCACAGAGGACCACCCCGCAGAGGACCACCCCGCAGAGGACCACCCCGCAGACAACCACCTCACAGACAACCACCCCGCAGAGGACCACCCCCGCAGACAACCACCTCACAGACAACCACCCCGCAGAGGACCACCCCGCAGACAACCACCTCACAGACAACCACCCCGCAGAGGACCACCCCACAGAGGACCACCTCACAGACAACCACCCCCGCAGAGGACCACCCCGCAGACGACCACCCCGCAGACAACCACCCGCAGACAACCACCCCGCAGACAACCACCCCTCAGACAACCACCCCTCAGACAACCACCCCGCAGACAACCACCCCGCAGACAACCACCTCACAGACAACCACCCCGCAGACAACCACCCCACAGACAACCACCTCGCAGACAACCACCTCACAGACAACCACCCCGCAGAGGACCACCCCGCAGACAACCACCCTGCAGACAACCACCTCACAGACAACCACCTCACAGACAACCACCTCACAGACAACCACCCCGCAGACAACCACCCCACAGAGGACCACCTCACAGACAACCACCCCGCAGACAACCACCCCGCAGACAACCACCTAACAGACAACCACCCCGCAGACAACCACCTCACAGACAACCACCTCACAGACAACCACCCCGCAGACAACCACCCCACAGACAACCACCTCACAGACAACCACCCCGCAGACAACCACCCCACAGACAACCACCCCGCAGACAACCACCCCGCAGAGGACCACCCCACAGAGGACCACCTCACAGACAACCACCTCACAGACAACCACCCCGCAGAGGACCACCCCGCAGACAACCACCTCACAGACAACCACCCCGCAGACAACCACCTCACAGACAACCACCCCGCAGACAACCACCCCACAGACAACCACCCCGCAGAGGACCACCTCACAGACAACCACCCCGCAGAGGACCACCTCACAGACAACCACCCCGCAGAGGACCACCCCACAGAGGACCACCTCATAGACAACCACCCCGCAGAGGACCACCCCGCAGACAACCACCCCGCAGAGGACCACCCCGCAGAGGACCACCCCGCAGAGGACCACCTCACAGACCACCCCACAAAGGACCACCCCACCGAGAACCACCCCACAAAGCACCACCCCACACAGGACCACTCCACACAGGACCACCGCAGACACCTACCCAACAGAGGACCACCCCACTGAGGACCACCCCACTGAGGACCACCCCACTGAGGACCACCCCACTGAGGACCACCCCACTGAGGACCACCCCACTGAGGACCACCCCACAGAGGACCACCCCACAGAGGACCACCCCATAGAGGACCACACAAAAAAGGACCACCGTACAGAGGACCACTCCACAGAGGACCACCCCACAAAGAACCACCCCCATTCAGGACCACCCCAAGCAGGACCACCCTACACAGGACCACACCACACTGAGGACCACCCGATACAGAGGACCACCCCACACAGGACCACACCACAACGAGGACAACCCCACACAGGACCACCCCCACACAGGGCCACCCTACAAAGGTCCACCCCACAGAAGACCACCCCACAGAGGACCACCCCACAGAGGACCACCCCACAGAGGACCACCCCACAGAGGACCACCCCACAAAGGACCATCCCACACAGGACCATCCCACACAGGACCATCCCTCACAGGACCATCCCTCACAGGACCATCCCTCACAGGACCATCCCTCACAGGACCATCCCTCACAGGACCATCCCTCACCGGACCATCCCTCACAGGACCATCCCTCACAGGACCATCCCACACAGGACCATCCCACACAGGACCATCTCACACAGGGCTATCCCTCACAGAGGACTACCCCACACAGAGGACCACCTCACAAACAACTACCCCACAGGATCACGCAACTATTCCACAACCACACTTCAAAGGACCACGCAACAGAGGATCACCCCACACAGAAGACCACCCCACACAGGACCACAATACAGAGGACCACACCATAAAGGACCACCCCACAATGGACCTTCTCCACAGAGGACCACCCCCCCTAAAGACGACCACCCCACAAAGGACCATCTACACAAAGGACCACCCCTCAAAGGACCACCCCACAGACGACCACGCCAAATGGACTACCCCCACAGACGACCACCCCACAATAAACTATCTCCACTGAGGACCACCCAGCAATGGTCCATCTCCACAGACGACCACCCTGCAATGGACCACTCCACAGACGACCACCCCAAAATGGACCATCTCCTTAGAGGACCACCCGCACAGACGACCACCTCACAAAGGACCACCCCACGAAGGACCACCCCACAGACGACCACTCCACATAGGACACTCTCCACAGAGGACCATCCCACAGACGACCACCCCACAAAGAATTACCCCACAAAGGACCACCCCTCAAAAGACCACCGCACCAAGAGCCACCCCTGAAAGGACCACCCCTGAAAGGACCACCCGACAAAGGACCACCCGACAAAGGACCACCCGACAAAGGACCACCCCACAAAGGACCACCCCACAAAGGACCACCCCACAGAGGACCACCCCACAGAGGACCACCCCACAAAGGACCACCCCACAAAGGACCACCCCACAAAGGACCACCCCACAAAGGACCACCCCACAAAGGACCACCCCACAAAGGACCACCCCACAAAGGACCACCCCACAAAGGACCACCCCACAAAGGACCACCTCACAAAGGATCACCCCACAAAGGATCACCCCACAAAGGACCACCCCACAAAGGACCACCCCACAAAGGACCACCCCACAAAGGACCACCCCACAAAGGACCACCCCACAGAGGACCACCCCACAGAGGACCACCCCACAGAGGACCACCCCACAAAGGACCACCCCACAAAGGACCACCCCACAAAGGACCACCCCACAAAGGACCACCCCACAAAGGACCACCCCACAAAGGACCACCCCACAAAGGACCACCCCACAAAGGACCACCTCACAAAGGATCACCCCACAAAGGATCACCTCACAAAGGACCACCCCACAAAGGACCACCCCACAAAGGACCACCCCACAGAAGACCGCCCCCACAGAGCAGTCCCACTCGAGCAATGTACCCAGGTGGTGCACTCAGTGTTATGCTAGTTCCTTGATCTTGATGGCATTTAGTGAGCCATCTGTCATATGCAAATTGGTAACGTTGCATGCAACTGCAGTCAGGGAAATGCAATATCCCACAACTCGAAATGAGGAATAGAAAGTGGACATGGGGTTGTGAGAGTAGTGCTCGTGAAAGGGTGAACAAGTGGAAGCGGAAGAGAGAAGAGAGTCTGGGAAGGATGTAAAAAAGCGAGGAATAGTAAGGTAATCTCGAGGGAGTGAGAAGTGTGTAATGGAAGGATTTGGAAAGTGACGTGCGATGGTGGGTGGGTGTAAAGATTTACCTGCAAGGTCGCATAGGGGGTTCAAAGCTGTTGTCAGATACTCTGTTAAAGATCAGTTATGGGTTCCATTCTGGTGCAACCTACTCCACTGCTAGTCTTATGTTGGATGTAAGCTGGTGTTGTATAATCCCATGTGGGTTCCATGGTGGTGCTGCAATCTCTGGTACTGGTGTCATGTGGGTTCCATGGTGGTGCTGCAATCTCTGGTACTGGTGTCATGTGGGTTCCATGGTGGTGCTGCAATCTCTGGTACTGGTGTCATGTGGGTTCCATGGTGGTGCTGCAATCTCTGGTACTGGTGTCATGTGGGTTCCATGGTGGTGCTGCAATCTCTGGTACTGGTGTCATGTGGGTTCCATGGTGGTGCTGCAATCTCTGGTACTGGTGTCATGTGGGTTCCATGGTGGTGCTGCAATCTCTGGTACTGGTGTCATGTGGGTTCCTTGGTGGTGCTGCAATCTCTGGTACTGGTGTCATGTGGGTTCCATGGTGGTGCTGCAATCTCTGGTACTGGTGTCATGTGGGTTCCATGGTGGTGCTGCAATCTCTGGTACTGGTGTCATGTGGGTTCCATGGTGGTGCTGCAATCTCTGGTACTGGTGTCATGTGGGTTCCATGGTGGTGCTGCAATCTCTGGTACTGGTGTCATGTGGGTTCCATGCTTATGCAGCATTTAAGTGTTGGTGTTATATAAGTTCCAGGCAAGCACTGGATTTATGTGGGTCTCATGCTACTCCAATACTAGTTTATTAGGGTTAAATGTTGGAGCTGCATATTCTAGTACTGGTCTCATGTTAGTTATATTAGTTTTTTCAGGGATATGCGTATGTGTGTCCTAGTCCTCAGACTGGCCAGGTTGGCGTTACTCATTTCTGTCTTTTGCGATGGCTGAGTAGATATGACTCGTATTTGGGCTTTCATGCTGGTGATGCATATTCTAATGTTGGTCTCATATCTGTGTTCTACGATGGTGTTACATATTTAATTACTGGTCTCTCGTTGGTTGCATGTTATTTCCGTGGGTCCCATGCTGAAGCTGCGTATTTAAGAACTAGTCCCAAGTGGGTTTCATGCTGGTGTTGCAAACCGATTATTATTTTTGTGTGTTTAAAGATACAAATAATATTGACAAACTGCATTGAATTTATTCCTTCAGTCTACCTCTCCACCGAAAAAAAATTCTTCGTTTTCTGTGGTTCTTTTAACTTCTATGTTTCCTGTTCTCGATGTTATAGGTTTATAAATTATCACTGAAATATTATCCGAATCCAATAAAAATATTGAACTTGGTGATCATATTACCTCTTCTTCTCGTATCTATCCACTTTAGCATATTTAGAAAAACAAATCATTCATAAAAAAAACTATTTTTCTCGGCCCAAGAGACATTTAATCTGTCAGCAGCTCATCCTCCTGTTTTGGTAGCACTTAAAGTAACAATGAGGATCATAGTACATATACCGACGTTACAACGCAATTAGAAAGAAGAAATATGTACTATTCAATTTGGACAAAATGGAAAATATTTTCTATTTAAGTTGCAAAGACAAACTTAACTAACCTAACTTGGGTACTCGTGGCGCAATGGTAAAGCACTCGCCCTACACTTGGCGAGCGCTTTGGCCTGGGTTCGTATCCTCCAGGGGGCCACATTCACGAAGCAGGTACGCAAGTACTAACGAACGTGTACATCTTTCCTCATTTTTTGACGGCTTTGGTTACATTTTTTAAAGAGTTTACAAGCATAAAACTTCCTAATCAATTTTTTTTATTGTTAAAAACAGCATCCTGGGGCTTCGGAGCTCATTAACTGTTTGATAATTGTAAACAAAGCCGCCAAAGATTGAGAAAAGATGTCCAGGTTCGTAAGAGCTTGTGTAACTGCTTTATGAATCCGGGTCCTTGCCGGGTAGGATTGACTAGGTGCCAATCTTTAACTGTACGCCTTCGTTCACTCAGCAGTGAATGGGTTCCTGATTGTTAAGCGATTTGGCAGGACGAATTCCAGGGAAAATTAAGATTAGGAATATGCCTGAAACTCTATGCGATATGGCTTTACAAGAATGTAAAAATTCTTGTATATATGAATAAAATAAAATAAAATAAAAATAAAAACCACTAACCTAACCTTCCTAGATCTCATACACGCTATCTGAGGCCTAGTATAGTACACGTGTGTACTATACTAGGCCTAGGAGTATTTAGGTTAATTTTTTAGCTTTATTTTCTTCGGATTCTATAAAGTGAGTATCACCAAAGTCTACTATCTGCTTTAGTACGTCAATCTTTGTATTATGATGCACATAGTTACCAAAAACTACTATCTAATCTGGAGGATTGGTTGTTGTTAGGCCGCACGTATTTTATAATTTGATCTTTTAGCAGTTCTTCATCCATGTATTTGAGGGAATCAAGGGCAATTCTTAAGGTGGGTATATTAGCAGAAGCACCTCAAAACGCACCCTTTGGCATGTCTTCTGAGAAAAGTTTGCTGCCCACGATCATCACTTTCAGCGTGTTTACTTGCCTATTTGTGCTTGTTGCAGCATGATCCTGCTCCTAGGTTCTACGTCCCAGCCTTCAATCAACTTGTTCCTTGAGTTCCTTGACCTATCGAGCACTATTGTATCTACCGATCAGTGTGTGTGTATGGAGTGTGCCCACTCTGCCCACACTGGTTCGCCCCTCTGTGATGACTTTGCCCACTCTGCCTGCACAGGTTCGCCCCTATGTGATGACAGTCCTCATCTGTTGTATTGATTTGTGGGATATTACAA